CCAGAGCCTGAATGTACGACAAGACCTGAGACAGATGCTCTGTAGCTTGCTCCTTGAGTTGGCTATCAGAGCACAGTCGTCTAGATACGCTAACAGGCGAACTCCTTTTTCCCTGAGAGGAAATAGCGCTGTTTCGACACATTTAMAAAATGTGCGGGGCGCCAGGGACAGACCAAATGGTAGCACCAGGTACTCGTAGGCTACGCCTTCAAACGCAAACCTCAGAAATTTCCTGTGATCCGGGTGAATCGCTACATGAAAGTAAGCGTCTGTTAAATCGACGGTCGCAAACCAGTCGCCCGGGCTGATAGAATGCAGAAGCTGCCTGAGTGTTAGCATTTTGAAACTGTATGTTCATAGAAACTTGTTCAAAACTCTCAGGTCTAAAATTGGACGGAGGCCGCCGTCTTTTTTCGGAACGACAAAGTAACGGCTGTACCAAACTTTGTTTATGTCCGAAGAGGGGATCACACGTATGGCTCCTTTCGCCAGTAGCGTTTATTTCCTCTCTCAACACCACGGCTGCTTTGTTTCTCACAACAGTGTGTAATACAGTGTTGAAACGGGGTGGCCGTATGCAGAACTGTAGTCGGRAACCCATGGCAGCAGTTCTCTCTACCCAAGGGAATGGTGCGCACGCGCGCCAGAGAGAGAGTCGCGTCGTTAGGCGACCGACTTGTGTTAGCGAAGTCCTGCTACCCTCTGTCGCGTGAGAGAGGCGCAGCATTATATGACTGTCGCTCACAACTTTTCTGATTTTTTTTTTTTTTMTTTGTTTGTTTTTGAAGTGTTTCCTTTATTGACACATTCAACAAGTTTACACAACCATTTTGTACATTTACATTTTGAACATTTAGCACACCCAAACTGGGGGCTTCTGGTACAGTGTGTGTGTGGGGTGGGACTGGTGCTTGGGAGACTGTGTTATAGAAATGCAGCGCCTCTTGGCTTGAGCTTCTGCCTACTTCTTCCTCAGCTCGAACTTTGCCTGGATAACGTCAAGAGACTGACCAAATAACCCAGCCGCCATAACTGGTTCATCCAGGTATTTGGCCCGGTCTCTGTCGGGGACATCAGAGAGTGTCAACCACAAATGTCTCTGCYCCACCACGATTGACGCCATCCCTCTGCCCAGGGAGAGCGCTACGCCGCGGGAAGCGCGGAGGATGTAGTCCGCGGTGAGTCGGATCTCGTTTAAGAGAGGCAGCAGGGGACTCTCAGCCGGTACCTGAGCTCCGAGCTCCGCCAGAGCCATAGCCTGGTAAGTCTGGAGCATGCTGATGGAGCTCAGGCCGCGAGCGACGGTGGCCTGAGCTTTGTAGATTTTTTCTAACTGCGCAGCAGAAAGTCTACAGGGCTTGGAAGGGAGCGTGGTGGGCCCGCTCACACCWTGGTTGTGAGACGGGGCCAGATAAGCTGCTAGGGACGGCTCCATGGGGGGTATGTTTACCAGTCCAGCTTTTTTCAGCTCCTTCCAAGTCCAAATACGGTCCATAGCCYGGCACTGTGACGCGGGTGGACAGAGGTTTGGTCCAGCAGGACGTTAGTTCCGAGACGAAGTCCGGGAACATGGGGAAGCGGTTCTTCACCGTGGTCGGTTCATTGGGGAGGAAAAATCCAGTGAACCGCGACGGTTTTGTGCAGGAGGGGGGGGCAGGCCACTCTACCTCCAGTTTCTGAGCCGCGCAACAACACAAAGAGAGAAAAGACGTGTCCTGGTCTGCACCCGCAGCAGCGGGGGCTCCTGGACTTGGACCGGGTTCATCATCGTCTTCCGACAGACCATGTATATCCAGGCCGATATCCAGCACGTCCTCCCCTCCGTGGTGGAGGTCCAGATGAAACTGGGAGGCCTCCTCCTCTTCGTCAGTTAACCCCTCCATTTACTCCACTTGGTCTGCTCAGCTGGAAGCGGGACTTCGACCGAGAGCTCCTCCTCGTCAGACTCGGACGGAACCGGGTTGCTAGACTCGGAGAGGAAAGGGTCCTGGCG